ATAAACAAAAGTTAACATTAATATAACATCAATGAACCATTTTATAATGAAATCTTTTCACATTAACATTAATTCCATAAAGAACAAAATATAATATGCACCCGTTTCATCATATATTTATTTCATAAAAGAACACAATACATTACGCACCTGTTTCATTTTCATCCTACCAACTAAACAGATCAACTTCAATCACAAAGCAACATGGATCATCATGAACCTAGATGTACATTCAATCACAAAGCAACAAGGATAACCATGAAACTTCAATCACAAAGCACCTATTTCATTAACACGTATAATATGCATAGACGGAGCAAATAAACCATTTTACAATGAAACATTTTTACATTAAAACAGTTTCATGACCATTGTTTTTTGAACTTTGTTTATGAAACTATTCATTACAATATTTTCATTAGGAAATAGAGAGATTATATTATTTCGATTTTTCAACTGTTTTGAAACGTTTGATGAAACCGTTGCATCAATAGTTCATTTTCCTTATTCCACTCATATGAACATGATTCATCATTATGAACGAAACAGTTTCATGAAACCTTTTCATTAAAGTGGATAATATGTCTAGAGTATTAATTTGGATAATATGCCTAGAGTATTAGATTATGAACATGCTTCATCATTATAAACCTTTTCATTATGAAATAGTTTCATGAAATTTGCCCCATATGAAACAGTTTCATGAACTTTAGGAATGAAGTCCGCCCCATATGAACGTCCCATATGAAACAGTTTCATTATGAATGCCTCATTCAAATCAAGTTTTTAATATTATAATATATTAAAAATTTTAATATGTTACCATTCAAGAAATTTCCATTRTTAMATTTCCTTATWTAATATTTATTAATAACTACCTTATTTATCATAAAAATATAGAAAATGACCAAAATACCCTTATTGATTAAATTTAATTAAAAAAGAATGGAATTTTTCTATTGGTCGAATTTGGTTTACACGGTTTTTAAGAATTGCATGGTTTTCATTTGAACCTGCCCCTATATATATATATATATATATATATATATATATATATAACTAGCAAGTAAGACGATAAAAAGATAAAAAAAAATTATATATCCCGTTACAAAAACCGTGCATTATGCCAAACATGTCACATGATTAACATGGCGTCAAACACAAATCTTGGACCATAGCATATCATGACAACTGTTACGATGAGCCTTTTAAAACATTGCTCGAAGATAATAACCGAGGTGTGTAGTTGAAAACTATTTCTAAACCCTCTCTTGGGCCTTGGGTTTCTTCTTGGGCTCTTGAAATATTTGGAAGCCCAACAGATCAAAACTGTCAAAATTTACTCATTTTTAATATAATTTGTTTAATTAAAAAATTAATTCATATTTAAGAATTAAGATTATTTAGCTTATAAAAAAATAAGGTAAATATATGGACAATCCACTAGTAAAGAGAGGAGACATGGAAGGACTAGCATGCATCCATATACTTGAAAATTCAAGAACATATATTATCAATCTTGAAACAAAAAGTACACAAAATCAGTTTCTATTCTTGACTACAAACTAGAAGGAACAGATACACCTGAAAGAGACTTCAAGACGCCATTTCATCGACCGGAACGCTTTCAGATTTGTTGGCCCCGGGCGGGTCCACATCCATCTGATCCGAGCTCGGTGGATGTTGTTCTTCGTCCATGGGTTGGGAGACAGGGTCCATTTGAGCCACTTCATTTGTCACCGGTGGTGCAGTGTCAATTTGATCCGTTACTGGTGTTGCAGTTGCAGTTGCAGTCGTGGTTTGATCTGTTACGGGCGGTGCAAGGATGGTGTTGGTGGTGGTGGCTGGAGGTTCCAGACTCGGGTTGGTGGTTTTGTACTCAGATAAGAGATCCATGAACTCGTTGAGCAACCGCTGGACTTTTCGGTTTGATGCCATTGCTGGAAGAATATCTTCCCTCAGGAGTTTGTGCTTCGTCATTCCCTACAGATATAAGGCAAAAATGTCAACAAAATTCATCTAAAAGAGTAGAAAATGAAAAAGGGGATGGAGAAACCAACAAGAACACAAGGATCCCATGCTGGATTTGTGGCATCAGAAACAGCAGCGGCAGCTTCCGCCATCCCTGTCGGAGGTCCGAGAAAATTCTCACACACTTCTCGTAATCGAGACTCATCAGCTTCTCTGTAATTCATGACCACAGTTTATGTGTTTAAGTTTTTGCTGCAAATATGCATGCAGTTACGTATAAGCTAAATAGGAAGGGAAAAAGAAAAAGAACCAACCGAGCCAGAAAGCGTATATATGACAGGAGACATTGACGATACTCATTTGGAGACTTCAACGACAGTGCAGACGCCAACTGAGCTTCCAAGTGAGCACGTGTCTGCACTCCATCATCAGTCACTCTGCAATCGAAAATTAGTCAAATGACTTAAATGGCCTCCACCAACAACAAAATGCGGAATCTTTTGTGCATCAAAACAAATAGTATGAATAAGAAGTAACGAAGACCAAACCAAACAAACCCAGTATATCCTGTACGATTGAAATGTACGCAGAGCGGCTATTTTCAAGAACTAATAATGACAATGAGCAAATGGGTAATTCCGAAATGTTGCAATTTGAAGGGATAGAATGGTCATTTGATTCATACAAACCTGCTCCAGCCAGGTTTTCTGGCCAAAAACTTCCTCACATCAACTTGCAAGGCTGCCAATTCACCATTTTGGGGGAACCCTAAATTAAACGAACTTGCGAAATTCGAAGCAGGGAAGCAATCATCAGCGACACGCAGCCAACACATGAGGCTCATATCAAACATGAAGGCATGGCGTGTAGCCAGTGTAACAAGAGGAGATCCAGACTTTGATAACTTTGCGGATATGACTTTAACTGTGCCTGAAAAATTAAAGCTTTGTAAGCCTACCGGCTCAAAAATCTAAATACAAAGTTTTTCATGTTTGGTTTTCTTTGTTACCAGTTGATTTCGGGTCTGAAGCCATAAGTGAAGCTAATGAATCATGGAGGATGCATTTCCGGTTGAAAAGGTCCCACACATATAATGCCCCTCTCCTTGTGACGAGCAACAACTTCCAAGACTCGTCACAATCAATGAACACTGGTGCGGCTCCCATCATCATAGTTGGCATGGAACGTCGGCCGCATTTTGTGTACACCTTTCCAGGACAAAACATTAAATATAAGTACCTGAGTCGACCCATCGTAGGTTTTGACAATAGTTTAACATATTATCATTATGGAATGTCACACGAAAATTGCAACATTTCCTTTCTGCATTTTAACTCAATTTTTTTGCCAGTGACTGAGATTTTGGATTATCCTCGAGTAACTTCGTGATACCCAAGGTATTGTTATAGGGTCAAAATATTACTTACAGAAAGTGATTCATATCCAAGTCTGTTTTCATTAATTCTTCAGGATTCCCCACATTTTAACAAAATATATCATCACTTTTTAAATGGAGATTAGAGAACTAACCTGCAGGGATCCATCTTCACACCCGACGGCCCAAAAATTGGTGTTTCCTGCCAAAACTGTGACATTGCCGGAGATCCTATCAGACCAAAGAGTTTGACCATTTCTCGTGCAAGCAATTTCGGTTTCTTTCATCACACATGTACTCCCTACCCCAATAATGTCATTTGCTGCATGTTCCTTAGGACAAGCTTCCAAACAAACTTGTGGCGCATCTCCTCCCTCTTTATTGTCAAAAACCCTTATCGAAAGGGGTCGAAAAGAAGCCAAGGAACCCAAATTCTTTGGAGCTCCAATCTGTTCAACACTAATATTTCCATCTTTATCCGCAGAAGCTGGAACCTTTTCAATTATTAGACTCTCACTAACAGTGGCCCGAGCAGACACACCTGATCGCTCCTTCATATCAGGCCCTCCAACCATTTGCCTCTTGTTAGGACCCTCACGAAATCCTGCATCGGCATGTACCACACCGTTCTCTGTTGACTTCATAGAGAAGTCAACAGTTTGAGATTGAGTAGTCCCGCAGATGTTTTCTCCTTGAACAGGAACTCTAACTGCTTCCGGAATGATTCTTTTCCGACCATCAGGTCGTCGATATTCTCTTTGCTTTACAGGACTAGACACTCGAGTAGAAGGTGTAGCAGCTCTATTTGCTGCATCACCAAGAACTCCTACATCATTCTTACTAAGATCAGGTAAGGATTCGGAAACCTTTGATGCAATCCCTAGACCAGAAGAAGATTTCATGGTGGATGAACTATTGTTTGTGATGTTTGCTGCAACCTTTTTAGAAGCGGCTTCAAGCAGCAACTGTGCTGGACTTTCTGCTAAGTTTGCTTGTCGACCTCTAACATCACCATAACGGCTCTTTTTCAATTCCTCTAGTTCGGCATCACTTAATCTATGACCAAGTTCTTTCACCTCAAAGTGAAAAGTAGCCACGGTCCCATCCAAAGAACATGCAAATAGTGAATACCCATCAGGGCTCCTGAAAAAAATGAATAAAGAGATTAAATCGGATGATAAAAATTAACATTATTTGTATTCAATTGTAAGTAGTGATTTACCAAGACAAATCGACAACACTTTGAGAAAAGAAATGTTTAGCAACAAAGAGAGGACGAGCGCTTGCAGTAGTCCACACAGTAATGGTTCGATCTTGACTTCCTATAGCGATGACGTTATAAGGCTGTGATTCTTTTCCACCATTCTTTGAAAACCCGTTAGCCCATCCAGCAGAAGCACTTTTTGGTTCCTGGGCATTTGTCGAATTCCTTCTGAACATAGAATGATTAAACTTCACCACAATAATTGGGGCATTGTGCCCTAAAAAGTCAAACGTAGCAGTCCATTCTCCCCTCTCTAAAACAGGTGCTGAATGCCTTGGCTTTTGAAAACCATGGGTCGTTGTTATAAAATGACCGCAAGGAGACCACCCAAGACGCCTGAAGAAGGTAGATCCAAGCTGGAGGAGGCAATTAAAAAACCAAACAAAAAAGACTTAAGTGCCATGTAAGTTCAGATAAAGAAATCACATATTAAATACTTACCGATTTTGTCCAGTGTCCATCTGTCCTATGTGCAAGACTCCAGTCAGATGTTCGCCAAATAATGACAGTTTTGTCATCTGATTGACTTGCAATAAAGGAACCAATGGGATCCCAAGTTACCCCTTTAACAAGACTAGAGTGACCCCTTAAAACAGCTGTGCAGATGCCGTTGCTTGCATCCCATATATGAATAGTGTTATCCAAACTCCCACTGGCCAAAGTCGAATCATCCGGGGACCAGTTAAGATCCACCTACTCAAAGCACAAGAAAGAGAAACTCCATGGTCAGATTTTGTATGGCAGGGGAACTGTTTGTGTTCAATTTAAGATAATAATTACCACATCTGCAGTATGCCCTCTCAAAGTCAAGGCAATTTTCCAGTTTTCAACATCAGGTGCCTCTCCACTGCCAAATTCAGTGGTTCCAGAACCAGGTTTCCTCTCATGAATTTGAATAACCTGATCATCAGACCCTGATGCAATATAGCGGCCATGCTTGGCCCACCTAACGCAATTTACTGACCCAAAATGATCACGAAGAGTAGCAAGAAGTTCCAACTTTGGTTTATCTGGATCCAAATGCAGGATCTTGGCAACATATTTCATGTTCCAAATCCTTACCTAGATGATGAACAAATGTCATGCAAAATTCAGCTGTAAATATAAGTTGCATAGAAAATGATGCCGCATTTGCAAACACAGCCACACATAAATACAAACAAATGAGTTAGCCCAAGAGCATGAAACTTGTATATTCATCTAATGATGACTATTACATTATTAGTTCTTTCCTCTAACTTACCAACTCAAAATTAAAGAGATATTGTTAATTTGTAGTTTAGAAATTTGTATTGTACTCTTCGTCCCAACTTGGGAGTAATCTTTCATTAAAATTTACATAAGATGGACTCCAAGCTACTTACTAGTCAATTTTTCATAATATAAACCAGCCCATTATTACATTATGTATACGATTCAACATGCCACCTAACAAACAACTTATTAGAAATACAAGATCTCTTCTTTTCAGTTACCAAATACCTCCTTTCTTCGAATTAGTTAAGGAACGCATGGATTCTTCCATCTGTTAGGGAGATGTTCTTATGATCAAGTGAGGTTGGTTGCCACAGGACATGCCTAGGGTACCGGGCTTCAGATGTTGGCCCCTTCTATGGCCTTAAGCAAATTTTGGAATAAGACCTTTGGCCTATTTTCATGGTGTTTGACCTAAACAAGTTACAAAACATAATCTTCTCAGATCATAGCCTATAAGGTTTAGTAAATTTTCTCAGTAGTACTTGTAATCAAATATATTGCTCCATAAGTGTGGTTGATTGATTTAGGGATCAGAGGTGTTGCATATTAAATTCATGTAATATAAGTCAATCCTCTTGAGTAAGAGTGTAACCGAGTTCAATTCATATCAACAACGTAGAACAATATCATGTATTATTCTTCAAACAATCTATTAGAACTTCATACAATTGTGATTTATCTTCAAACCCTAGCAATTCAAACAAAAAATACGAACTTCCTCTACAGAATAACAGTAAGAAAACAAAAATTGAAACCGCATTATTACTGTTACCTTGTGATCACCACCGCCAGTGGCAAATCTAAGCCCCCCAGGCTGTATATCAATTGAGAAGATTTGCATGCCTTCATGTCGAACCCAATTTGGCTTTTCTGCAATCATTTTCAAATATGTTGATCTTCAATCGAGACCCAAATGAGCTTGATTCACCATGGAAATCAGCATGATGGTACAAATACTCTACAACAGTTTCATCGAGAACAAAATCCCAGAAAAACCCTTGTCTGGATTGGAAAAATAAAAAGAAAATAGAATAAACCCTTTTCGAAATTTTGGTGCCTTTATTTTGACAAAAACCCTAGATATGTGGCTGTTTGCGAGTTTTTGTTCTTTAAACGGTCATAATGATGAGGACTCTACTACCAAAAACAAATAAACAAACAAACTGACCCAAACCCAGACCCGGATCCAGACTTAAAACTAGGGTGAAAAAAACCCAATCAACCCAACCCAACGCAGAATTTAATCGAGTCGTAAAATTTTCAAACCATAGGTATTGGGTTATTATTATTAGAAATCAACTCAATCCGATATTCTTTTATTTTTTTGATTTAATATGATTGTTGAATTTCTGTTAATATATACATTAGACAATTACACTATCGCATATACTCTTCATACACACATCTTTTCAATATATTCGCATCTCTACATAACACATTCGTATATATGTTCAGTAACTGTAAACATATATACATAAATTGAGAAAATTAACTGAATGTGATATACGTAAAAAAATATGGATAAATTGTATCAAATGGTTGATGATGAAAAAGAAATTATGAGTAGAGAAATAACATATTTAAGGTTAGAAGAATATTTTAATGTATCAAAGTATCAACCTGACAAACCCGTATGTTGGGTTGGGTTGCACTTTCGTTTGGAAATTTTCCAAATTGCAAGCATTAGGTTGAGTTGTTCACATATCTTCAACACGATCAACCCAACTCATGAGCACCCTTACTCAGGACCCATAGATCTGAGCATGTGGAGTAACCTAACTTGTACAAAAGTCCGGCGGATCTAGAAACGTTTTTGGTTGGGGGCATATCGTAGGGCGTCAAAAAACTTTCAAACCGAATAATTCATCCGAACTAACACGGTTTTGGGTTATTCGTTTTCGGCTTAAACAATTTGGTTAACAGAATAATGATAACTTATTTGGTTCAGTTTTTGCTTAACTTTTTACTATTTCGGTTATACTGACACATAAGACTACTACTTATATATTTTTATATTTAGTTTAAAGTTAAAACAAATGAACACATTACCCAGATGGTTATAGAAACAAATTTGTTGCACTCGGCATTTAACCAATTTGTAACAAATCTAGTGAAAAGTTAAGCAGATTCTAAACAAAATTACACACTGCAGTGAGCTTGAGTGGTCGTTCGTTTGGACTTTGGAGTCAAAGATGAGAGCATTGTTATCGGTTGTGTTTGTATGTATAAAAAATTGTGTAGTTTTTTTGGAAAAAATTTGTGGGTTTTGTTAGGGGCTAGGACCTACCAAAGCAATGCTTTCGCCCCTGGGGCAAACAACGGCAATAAAGATGATTAGTATGTATTAATTATATAAGAGCACCCACATGGGGCTTTCATATGGATTGCAAATTGAATTGCAAATGCATTTTTGAAGATGATTGCTGCCATGTAGGATTTTGAATTGCAAAATTTGCAATTCCATTTGAAAGCCACGTGGGCACCACTTCCTCTCCAATTTC